TGTGTTTGCTTGAATTCTAGAAACAATCTGTATTCGACCAGGTATTGGTATAAAAACTGTATTTAACCTATTGCACCTTTTGTTCAGCATTTCATGACCCAACTTTTGATCATTGACCATAAGAACATCAAATACACAGAAGCATGTTTGTAATTCAGAATCATCCACCATCCTTTTGATGTCAAACTTGCTTCCTTTCTGCATAAAAGTCTGGGTGGTAGGATTATAGGCCATCATTTCACCATCCAGAATGCAGTTTTGAGTATTTCTAAAGGCCTGATGAATGAAAGGAGTCAATGAACCTTCAAGGGGAGAAGCACCAAACTGCTGAGTATAATCATACCCGTTTCTGGAAAAGTATTTGTAAACATCTCCATCTTTGTGCATCTGCATTCGTTCACCATCTAATTTGGTTTCTATATAAAAAGTCTGATTATTCATTTGTTTCTCAATTTGGTGCACACTGGCAATAGAAGCAAGCATTGGTTTAAAGGCAGAAAATAATGTAATAGAAGCATCAATAAGTGATACTAAAGGATTATGCAGCTGCCTACAAACCTTTTCCAAATCTGTTGTGACACTGTGCAATTCTGCAGCATCAGAATGGAAAATAGAAAATAAGGTTTGCTGGCTGACACCAAGTTTCAAATCCTTTATGATCATCCTAATCAACCACTTCTGTTCTAGTGCTGAGCTCTGAGTTATTAACTGAAGAAGGCTCTTCTTAACTAGACCCTTCCTTTTGGCAGCATTATTATTAGAAACTGAATCTAGAAGATCATTCACTTGTTGTATGGTCAGTTGACCTTGGTTGATGCATCTTGATTTCAAAACAAAGTAGGCAATCATAGCAAAGTCTCCAACATTTCCTTGTGAGCCAATGGGTGTTCGAAAATTTAAAAGTTTTAAAGCGTCTTTTCCATCTTTGGGTAAATTTAGCAATTCAATATATAGCTTAGCAAGCATTGTTTCTTTAATTCCATAAGCCATCCTCTCTCTTTCCAACTGTGGAAGAATAAGCCTCATTGCAGGATAAAAAGAATCTATTACATCCTTCTCATTTTTATGAAGAGCATCATGAAATTTCCTCCAGGAATCTAGAAAATCCTTGAAATATCTTGTTTTATCTGATCGGGATTTGCACTTCTGTATTTGTTCTAATGTTGAACAGAGATCTGCAAATGGGACTTGTGATGCTACAGTTAGCTTGGAAGATGAATGTGAAATGGGGACTGAAGCCATCTTAGATGTTTTTTCTCTACAAAAAGAAACAACCAAAGGAATTATAAATTCAGAGCTCTTTTTAGTTTGAACATTTTTACTTACAGTTTTACCATGAATTGATGGTATGCCTCAACATGCATAATGAATGTTAAACTCAAAGCAATAAATTTAGTCTTACTCTCTGGCTCCAGCTATGCCAAAGTGATCTATATGTGGATAGAAACACGTTCTACTGGTTATCAGAATATCATCAGATGACGTACAAGGGCAAAGCCAAATGCCATCTCAGAAACTAAATAAAAGAGTTTTAGGCTGCAGTGTTATATACTCTGTAAGCAAAGAAGCTTCCCATTTTATTTTTACTATATTGTTTCTTTCCATATCCAGTTATTCTAACTTTATAGTCTTAAATTACTTTACCTTTGAAGGTATTTTTGCTACATGAGGATATAGTAGCACTACATGGCAACACTGAGCAAACACTGATTATAAAGTGTACTAATTGAGGTATAAAGCTACATGTGCCCTCACCAAACCTTTCAGTGATGCTCCCAAAGTCCTTTGTAACTCATCAAATTTTAATGTTTAATGAGATAGAATGGCAACAGGTGATGAAGGGACTACTACAGGCAGCATGCTCTACTTGTATTCTTTTTTTTTTTTTTTTGCTTTCTGCATCCAGCATCCTTAGACCCAGAGGATTGGAGAGACAGTTTGGTGTAGTGGTTAAGGTCCTGACCTAGAAACCAGGAGACTGAATTCTAGTCCCGCCTTAGGCATGAAAGTTGGCTGAGTGACTTTGGACCACTCTCTCTCAACACAACCCACCTCACAGGTTTGATATTGTAGGGAAAATCAGAGGAGGGAGTAGCATATTGTATGTTCACCACCTTGAGTTACCTATAAAAGTAATAAAGACAGGATAAAAATCTAATAAAGAAATAAAAAAATAGAGCCAATTATCCTGCTGCCCTTGAGATGCTGATCCAACAGAATTCTGCTGCTCAGAAAGAGAGCAGATGGAGATAGCCAGGTGCGTAACCTAGAGCAGGGGTGTCAAACCCGATTGCATTGCAGGCCGTATTGTATCAGGACTTGTTTTGCCCTGGCGGGGCCGGAGTGGATGTGGGCTGCATGTTTGACATGCCTTACGTAGAGCAACTAGGTCCACTCTGTGCTAGGCCACCTGCAAGAGAGAATACTGGACCAGTCTTTCCCATTCTCCTACCATGACTGCCCCCTTTGGTGAGACACAGAATGCTGCCCAAACTCACCACTTACCAGATTGGGAGAATAAACCAACACAATCTGCCACACCAGAGATGTCTTCTAAGTACTTATTATATTTTGTCCTGCCTTTTTATCTATAACTCAAGGCAGCAAACCTATCTAATACAGCTGTTTCCCCACAACTCTGTGAGGTGGACTGAGCTGATAATGACTGCCTCAAAGTCGCCTAGTCATGTTTTATGCCGAAGGGAGACCTAGAATTAAGTCTTTCCTGGTTTCTAAACCAGAACCTTCATGCTACATCAGACTTGTTGTCATTCCCACAGTCTGTTAACTGCAGATCAGAGAAACTTCAGCAATCATATTTGGAGGATGAGAAGTGATTAAGTAATCATTAACACATTTCTGACCCACAGAGAAGGCACCCTTGAACACATATTTTCCTGTTCCAATTTTAAACTATATTTTAAATATGGTAGATACAATATAGTTATATTTTCAACTTCTTTTGGCAGAAGCTGTGCCCTGTCATCTACCTGTTTCATCTTGTATCAAGATAACATTGGTGTGACAGCCAGAGGCTGCTGTGCATATGTCCCTACCCCAATCCTTGCCTACTGATCTTCAGGGCCATTTGCCTTATAGTAGTAGGCAAATCTGGACTCACTGAATGAGTTCATCGGCTATGTCTCCAACATTTTGTGCCAATTCTGCAAGATCTGGCAACAGACCTCAGGCAGCCAAGAGGAATGGCAAGAAAAGCGTGTTTGGGCAGCTGCTCTTTAAGCACCAATTCTCCTACCCAATTCTGTGGGATCAAGAACTTTTGGGGGAAGAGGAGGCATTCTTAACTGTCAGCCCTCCCAGGATAATATTGCCCACTTAGCTCTGCCAGATTTTTTTGTTTGTTCAATTTCTATACCTGCCAACTCAACCAAGTGACTCTGAGTGGCTTACAATTCTAAAATTATAAAACAATTTAAAGATATTAAAATAATAAAAACATCCACAAAATAAATAAGTATAAACAGCAGCTGTATGATTAATCAACTAATAGTAAAGCCAAGTAACGGGACCCCTTAACACATTCCAAGTCTCAGGTCTGGGTACACAGCCAGGTTTTTAAAGCTTTGCAAAAAGCCAACAGGGTTGGGGCAAGCAAGATGAAGCACAGTACTGACTAATTAGCAGGGTTGGGTGGGTACAACTTTTGACCCATTTCCAGCAGTCCTCCACATTATTACTATACAGGTCATCCTCGGTTTATGCCCATAATTGAGCTTGCAATTATAGGCCTAAGTCATTAACATGGCAGTTAATTGAATGCCGCAGCCATTAAGCAAACCCACTGTTTACTATGGAACCTTCTTTGCCAGAAACCAGAAATAAAACCAGTTTTGGCAAAAACATAAATCATGGTTGTGTGACTGCAGGGCAATGCAAACAACCATAAATGCAGGCTGATTGTCATGTGACCATTGGAGGGGCAGCCTTTAGAACTCTGAATCTGAAGGGGTCTGTTGTAACTTCAAACAATCACTAAGCAACCCAGTTGTAAGTTATGAACTACCTATACATACTCATACATAAGCCTTGAATTTTAAGTGCCAAAGTACATCCCAAAAAATTGGGTTCACCTTATTCATAGATGAATGTGTTCACAAGTATATAAGGTTACATTTTAAAGTAAAGAACCGGTGTATATATCCATCTGCAGATACTGTAACCAATCCTTGAACTTTTAACTTTTAACCCAAAAATAAACCATCTGCAGAGAAGCCAAATGTGAAAATTAAACTTCAAGGATTGCCTTATTGGTAAGTGGCACATTTTTCATACTACTTTGGTTAAAAATTCTAGTGTTGGCTTATTCACGAGTATATATATGCCAAAATTTATCCTCACCGGCAGATTACAAGTTACAGTGCTTACTCCACAGGGCGGGCCAGCACTACTGGAGGACAGCAAAGTGGAAGTAGGTCTCTTGCTTTCAGTTCTCCGATCTCACTGCCTAATTATTTTGAAGGAGCAGTGACAAAAAAAGAGAGGTTCTCTTATCAGCCATAGCGAAGGAGGAGGTTGCAGGAGGAAAAATGGGCTGGGATGTTCACCAACACATTTTTACTCCACCCTACATTCTGCCCCTTCCGCAGCGGGGAAGAGAGAGGAGAGAACTTGAGGTCACCAAAATAGTGAACGAAAATATTCAGGGCGCCTCCATTTCTTTGCTGTAAGGGAGATCGGAGTTTTTGTTTCTCGCTGGCGGGGGGAGAGGGAGAGAGAGAACGGCACCTCCTCATTCCACGGCGAACCGCAGCCTATTAAAGCGCTACTCCTGGAACTTCACAGGAACGGTTCGGAAGTTGCCATAGAAACAGGAACGCTGGCCTGCCCTCGAGCCCGAGAAAGTCCCCTCTGGCCAATTCTGCTGCGTTCACAAACTGGTGCGCAGCACTCTTTCAGTCAGTTCAAGAAGATCTGTTCTCGTCACTCGTTGCCCGGAAGCACTTGTGACGTCGATTCGCTTTCCCGGAAGTGACGGCTGAGTGAATCAAACCCGGTCCAAGAAGAGGAAGGGCAGGATGTAGAGTATCCCGTCCCGGGCAGCGATGAGGTTGGTGTGCTGGGACTCTGCTGGTTCGAGCAGAGGCCTGCGCGCTTAGCTAGGAAGCGGAGTGGCGCCGTCGTCCTCTCCCTTCGAGGTTGGGGAAGCAGTCGTCTGGGTCTCCTCCAGGTGCCCATGGCCACGGGCGCCGCCAGGTCTATCGAGCACTTCGCCTCCTGGCTCTTCGTGCCGCAGGAGTCGACACTGTGCGTTTCTCTAGAAAATCCCCGGGTTGGGCTGAAAGGGCTGCCCACATGTAGTTCGCCTCTCGAAAACATTTCCTCGCCGCCTCATACTCGAGGCAGGGGAATTTATGAGATCTTTCGAAAAGGACATTTCACCGCGGCGTTCCGAAATAGGGCTTCCCCCTCATCCCTTAAACGACTCTTACCTGGGGAGGCTGGAATTTTTAGTTTTTACTTTCTGGATTGCCCCAGATTGGAAAAGGTTGGTCCTAGTTAACAATTAATGACGTGATAGTATTTCTGAGATTAGCCTATTTTACCCTAGCCTCTGTCCGAATTGCTTCCACGATTGTTTTTAAGCCAAACATACATTGGAAGATCAGACTGTTGATCTTTTGTAATACATCAGGTTTGGCCAGAGGAGAATCACTGAAAAGGATTGCCACTGTGGTTTCGCCGGTTAAGTGGGTGAAGTGCTGGTTCAACTTCTAAAAGGGGATGACAGTGTAGTTCTTCTCAGACAGTCACATTTTCTTATGGCTTACTAAACAGTAAAATAATGCTTATTAAAATATTTAATGCCTTTAGTAGAATTTGTGAACAGTAAGAACATTTCAAAACAAATATAGTAGTACAGTAATTGAAATAGTTACTGTTCGAACTTCTTTATTTTCTATCCTAGCTCCATTACTAAATCCTGTGGGAATTCTTTGTTATAAAACAGTACCTGATCTAAAGTTGAAAGGAGATGGCTTATGTAAGAGACATTTTCTTCAAGAAGTTGATCATTAGGTATGAACGCATCAGCTGTCTTTTGTGTTTCTATTAGCATATATTACCATGTAGTTTGTCCAGTCGGTGCCAAATGTTTTACCTGGTTTGTTTATTTACATTAGATTGCTAATAAATATTTTAGCTGGTACCCAGAAAATATTTAGGTCTGGAAAAATACTGGCTTATTTCAGAAATACAATAGGCTTCCTTTAGAGTACACAAACTAGCATACTGAAGCCTTTGAGATATTCAGTTATATCACAAACGCATTATTAGAGCGAGTTGAAGCGATTTGCACAGTTGAGATACCACTAGTAGATATATAAGGTATAGTTCTCCCATGTTTTTGTATGAAACATTGCATGGGGCCAATTTAAACTTTTCTCCATGCTATTATTGTGAAACAGTGTATTGTTCTTCTGTATTATATAGAATATATCTGTAGATATTACTTCCAAGTATTTGCACTAATGTAAACTTCATACTACCATGGTATTAAAAATAATGCTAACAATTAGGCAGTTGTTTTATTTGATTACTTTAAGAACAAATATTTAAAGATTTTATGGTAAAGCAGATTGAAAGGCTACACACAGTATTTCCAAGCAATAGCTTAACATTGTGTGGACAATCTGCAACAAATTTGATTTGAAACCTTAGATTTATGTACTATAACTTTAACCCTATAGTAGAAGTGACTTTGTAACATTGTTTTATAGAATTTAAAGTTAGTATGGTCTAGAAACCAATTTTTGTCTTGTAAAACAAGCTGTTCAGCTTCAAAAAATCAGTTTCCAATATGGTTTGTGAATGAATCTGACTTGTTTATTATTATTTAGCCCAAAGCTGAACATTAACTTAAAATTAAATATGTGAGAAAGTAGGAAGGGTATCTTATTCCCATTTATGTTTTTGAGTCTGCCTATCTTCTTTTGAGTTTAATTATCAGGGAACAGTTAAATGATTCTCATGATGCTGCAAGTAACACACATCAGGCTTAACAGCTGAAAAATTAATGAAATCTGCAGAATATTTTGTTTAAAAATCTAGATTCTTTATAACTACTGGTAATCTTTCATCTCTTTGTCACTTATTACTAAGGAACAAATATAGGATAAGCAATACCTTAAACGTATATTTTGCAGGTCTGGATAATCACAAGAATCAACAGTAATAATTATTATTTAAAAAGAGTGAAGAGAAACCAGAACTAAAATAATATTGTAAAATTAATATTACTGTTTCAGTTGTTCAGTTCCAAGATTATGACATAGATGGATGATAGATAAAGTAGTCTCAATGAAATCAGGCATTTAAAAGTCTATGACTGCAACCATGGTAATAGTTTATAATAGTTTGAAATAAGACTGAAATACTGTTACTTTTAATGTGCAAGGTTATCATGCACATAAGTTATGTTTCTTGGCAATCCCGATTACCATATTTGTTAGAAATCTGATAAAAGTTTTTTTAAAAAACTAAGAATACCAGATGAGAAGGTAGTACTTCTGAGAGGTGGTTTAATTATCCTATGCACAAAACCATCATTATGCTTTTAAGTACCAACTCTGTAGGGGCTGAAGAAAGATATTCCAAATTCATGGGTTCTGATATAATGTTTCTAGATTCCTGAATGATGAGATGTTTGTGATATTTTCCTCAAGTCATTTTTTGGTATGAGAATAGAATATAAATATAAATAGAACCTTGGAGATCTTCTAGTCCAGCCCCCTGCTCAAGCAGGAGCACCTTTATACCATCTCAGACAGGTGATTGTTTAGTCTCTTCTTAAAAATCTCCAGTGATGGAGTGTCCACGATTTCTGGAGACAAGCTGTTCCACTGGTTGATTGTCCTCACTGTCCGGAAGTTTCTCCTTAATTCCAGGTTGCTTCTCTCTTTGGTCAATTTCCAACCATTGTTTCTTGTCCTTCCCTCTGGTGAACAAAGTAACCCCCTCTTCCTTGTGGCAGCTCCTCAGATACTGGAACACTGCTATCATGTCTCCCCTATTTCTTCTTTTCTTTAGACTAGCCCACAGGTCAGCAACCTGGGGCTCTGGAGCTTCCTCTCTCTCTCTCTCTCTCTCTCTCTCTCTCTCTCTCTCTCTCTCTCTCTCTCTCTCTCCTCTCTCTCTCTCTCTCTGTATAAAAAAAGAGAGTGGCCTTACCCTATTTTCTGACAAGCTTATTGGGCGGGGCTCCTGCCTTGGCTGCGTCTCTGCAGGAAGCAGGAAGGGCAGGAGAGCGGGGCTCCTGCCTTGGCTGCGTCTCTGCAGGAAGCAGGAAGGGCAGGAGAGCCAGCCTGTTGGAGAACAGCTTGAAGCCAGCTTGCCAGGTGAGCAGAAGATTGGACAGAGGAAAGAGAAAGAGACAAAGAGGGGGAGGAAAGAGGGAGAGGAAAGAGAGAAAGAGAGAGGGGGAGAGGAGAGAGAGGGAAAGAGGGGGAGAGGAAAGAGAGAGAAAAAGAGAAGGAGAGAGGGAGAGGAGAGAGAGAGGGAGAGGAAAAAGGGAAAGGAGAGAAAGAAGGGGGAGAGGAAAGGGAGAGAGAAAAAGACGGAGAAAGAGAAAGGGAGCGAGAAAAAAGGGAGAGAAAAAGGGGGGGGAGAGAAAAAGGGAGAGAAAGAGAGAGAGAAAAAGAGAAAGAGAGAGGAAGAGAGAAAAAGAGAGAAAAAAGGAGAGAGTAGGGAGAAAGAGAAAGGGGGAGAGGAAAGAGAGAGGGAGAAAGAGAGAGAACTCATGCACAGCAGCCTCTATTTCTTTTTAATTAAACTCTTCAATCAATTTTCCCCCCCCTCACGCGTGCATGTGTGTGCATGTTTTGCGGCTCCCAGTGTTTTCTTTTCTCTAGGAAATGGGTCCAAGTGGCTCTTTGAGTGTTTAAGGTTGCAGACCCCTGGACTAGCCAAACCCAAGTTCTGCAGCTGTTCTTCGTATGTTTTAGTCTCCAGGCCGTTGATCATCTTAGTTGCTCTTCTCTTGATTTTTTTCCAAGGTCTCAACATCTTTTTTGTGAGATGGTGACCAAAATTGGCTGCCGTATTCTAGGTGTGGTCTTACTAGGGTTTTATAAAGGGATACTAATACTTCGTGTGATCTTGATTCTATGCCTGTCAGAATCCAATCATATTTCATATCAAGTTATCAACTATGAAAAACTCCATCCCTGCCTTCCCTGGATTCTGTCATGGATGAAGGGAAGGGGGCGAACAAAGGGGCTTTATGGCCCTCACTTCCTTCAGGATACTTCAAAGGAACTGGATGTGGAATCACCAAAAGGACTAACAATAACAATAGGGGGTCATTAGCNCTGAGACTGTCTCTGGGAGAAGGGGGTGATGGGGGTGGCTAAAGGGGGGACCCCTTTAAAATCTTGAGTTGGAAAGCTTTCACCCCAAGTCCTGTTTAGAACGCCTGCAACCATCTTCTCTTAATAAAGATGCCTATTGGAAGAAATATTCCAAGAGTTCTGTCTTCTTAAGATGCAAAGTGGGGTAGGTCCTTACAATGCCTCTGTTTATACAACCCAGGATTGTATTAGCTTTTTTGGTTGCTGCTGCAGCACACTGCTGGCTCATAGTCAAGTGATCATCCACTAGGACTCCAAGGTCCCTCTCACAGTTACTGTTTTTGTTAGAGAATTTTAATTTCTCTGTTGGTGAAAAAATAAATCAGAAGCTCTCACAGTTGACTGCATTTAGCTGATTCAAATAACTTCTTTATATTTATATCAAAATATTTACAATACCATACATTCTTCTTTACAGCAACATAGCACAATGAAGACTCCTTGCAGAGAGATACAGAGACAAACCCGAAACTGAATTAAAAAATCAGCTACTAACTCAATACCTTTTTGCACAGACTCAGTAGCACTTTCTTCACATTGGCTGACTGAGTTACCACGTGACTCTTCCTGCTCATGAATATTCCAACAGTTTTTAAGCCAGGTCTCGCCCAATCTGTACTTGTACCTTTGATTTTTCCTGCCTAAATGTAAAACTTTTGCTTTTCTCCACATTGAAACTCATTTTGTTGATAAGGGCCCATTGTTCAAGTTTGTCTAGATCTTTTTGGATCCTGAGTTTGTCTTCTGGATTGTTGGCTACTCCTTGGTGTCATCTGCAAATTTGATGAGTTCCTCTTCAGTCCCCTCATCTAAGTCATTTATGAAGATATTTATGTATCTAAAGTATTTTTGTATGATATTGGCTAAAGTTTGTGTGATTCAATATGAGAATGAAAGCACATCAGTGCAGTTCCTGATTCTCTATCCAGCTGCAGTCTATTCCAATATTATTCTTGATGGTACCTCAACTGTAAACATCTCGTTTGAGGGACATAAGGATATTGCAGCTGGAATGGCCATCTGATTTTCAAACAGTTCATTCGTTCATTCATCACATTTCTATATCACCCTAAGTAATTCTGTGTAGTTTACGATATAAACCTTTTTAGGGGAGTAGGAAGCTGCACTGGGCTGGATGAGACAGGAAACTCTGCTGCATGGCAATAGTTCTGCTCATGCTATTTTGGATCAAACCATTATCTAGTTGTAGACTTCATTGGTAGCCCTGGAAGTTTTTTTTTCAGCAGCTTTTGTCAAAATTAGAGTAAATAGATTTGGCTATAAAACTTTAAAGTATGCATAATCATTATTATGCTAATATAGATATTACTGGACGATAGTGGTTATTTAAAATTTCTTTGAATCAATTCTACAGGTTCAACACTTATTAAGCTTCTACTGAAGAACCTTATTAATCTATTTAGAAATGTTAATGTGCTGTTGTTCAACCTAGAAGGCTGCTAGAATAGCTTATGTGTTAATTGAAGTCAGTAAATACCCACAGGCCTATATAGTTTGAAATGATGCAACACAAATGGGATGTTAAGGGAAAAGGATGAAAAGATGAACTTAATATGAAAGCTTGTATCATCAAATTTTATCATTTTCTCATAATCTGCATTTGGATATGATTAAAAGTTAGAAATTTTACCCCTGAAATATAGTAGGTGAGATAGTAACAACGATTCTAGCAAGCTTCAGTGAAGATGTTTTCATTCCTCAAAGAACTATCACTTTTGGAAGAACATATGGCTTTGTGAAAGTTTTAAAAGTGAAAAAGAGTTTTAGTTATATTACATATTTTAGAAAGATAATACAACTTCTGACATCCCTAAGTTTGAAAAATGGTGTTTTTTTCCCTATAGAATTTTTTTTTAAATCAGTGCAAATATTTGCTGGCCTGGAAATCTGCCCTATAAAGCAAGCAGGATTGATCTTCCATGACTTATCCATTTCTACATTTACATGCTCAGTAGTCTAGAGTATGTGTCTTATGTTTTATATGCTGTGGCACAGTTTCCGTATAAATGAGAGGCTCTAAATGGGGTTCTGTTTTATGTCCTTGTCCCAGTTCTGGTATCTATTGAATTGTCAGGAAGAGAGATCACAAGATACAGAAGTCTGAAGAAATACTTAGGTCTTGAATGACAGAATTATCTAAACCTAAGTTATAAAATAGATTGGTGTTGCATAAAAGTAAGGCATCAGCTGCTACCTAAACATGCCAAGTAGGATTTTGAGTTCCCACAGCTGCTTTCTTGATAGATGGAATGGCTAGGTGTATAAATTTTACTAATTCATTGTTTGTTTTGACCATAATTTATTAAATGAGCCACAATTTCTAGATTAGCACAGCATACTAAACCAGAAATTATGGTTTCTGAATTATACTTAATGCAACACTCAGCATAATGTAGCTTATTTTACTTTGTTTAAAGTATTATATTGACCCAGCCAATGTGGGCTTTTGGTAGAAGACCATAACCAACCTATTATGAAAAGATGTCATTTGTCTGCAATTGAATACTACTTACATAAGCTATGATGTTATCCTGATTCTTCACTTGCATTCCTTTTTCCTACAGCACTTTGTGTATCTTGTATCTCATATCTAGGCCAAAGTTGATCCTTTCTTTTGCCTTCAGGTACCGTAATACATTAGGAAAAGTCTATGATGCCTATTCTACCACTTCCATGTGCTTGTTTGTACCATCTTACACACTTAAATAGTAATTTGTGAAATAGAGGTGATACTTTGCATTGCTTTTGAAAGTTCTTTGGAACATGTAGGAGTACAAACATTGCACCTGTCTGTGTCTCATTAAAGGAGTCAAGGCTACTCCCATGAAGTCACGGCTACTCTCATGTCTTTGGGGAAGCACTTTGAATCTAAAGCATTACACTGCCCTGTTTTCTCCACTTAATATATTTTCTGTTCCAGCCTGCAATTCCTTTGAAAAATTATAGATAGCATATTGTCGTAGTAAGATCGTCTCTTATAACCCATCCTTTCAATCTTTAGAACAGTGTAATGTGGTGTTGAAAGCAAGAATAGGAAGTTGGTAAAAATCAGCTATCTCAAGGCATAGCCAAAGAAAGGCATTCATTTGTTGAGATTGTATGGCAGGCAATGAAGGTCTTGTCTTGTTTCATACTCGGGCAAAACCAATATTGAACACAGCACTGCCCTTATACATTAACTAATAGTTCTTTCCAACTAATGAGTTTTAATTGCTACTGCAAGCTGATATGTCAGTACATGGATTTGAATGAAGGAATTTTGATTAAATCTAGTTAAACTGGGTTTCTCTTTTGGGGTGAGTGGGAAAAGAACAAATTTAATTTTCTTTGATTTAGAACACATCAGTCAAACTTAAGGAGAAAAAGGGCTGAAGCTCTCAATCTTCCTTATCTCTATTTTCTCTGTCTTTTATTTATGAATTTTTAAATTAATTTTCTTTTTAATTTGTTAAATTAATACACTTTTCAAGTTCCTTAGATGAGACACTTTGTTTTATTTTTCAAAAACATTGCTCAGTTGTTACCAGAGAAACCTATTTTTTCTGATATATTACGCTTACTATTTGTTTTGCTTTACTTTTTTTTGTTCATGTTGTTTTAAGCTTAAGTGTATTTTCTTCTTTCAGGATTCATGTGGACTAGAGATTCATTGGCTACTATAATGGAAAAATCATGGATGCTTTGGACTTCCATTGAAAAATGGCTGCTTGCTTTGGTGTCATGGTCCTGGGGTGTCTGCCGTATTTCTCTCTTACCTTTGATAGTGACTTTTCATTTGTATGGTGGCCTGATTTTACCTCTGTTAATATTTGTATCTATCACAGGTATATTATATAAATTCCAGGATGTGTTGCTTTATTTCCCTGAGCAACCCTCTTCATCGCGACTCTATGTTCCCATGCCTACTGGCATCCCACATGAGAATATCTTTATCAAAACCAAAGATGGTGTGTTGCTCAACCTAATTCTTCTCAGATTCACAGGTGATAATTCCTCATATTCTCCTACTATTATTTATTTTCATGGGAATGCAGGCAACATTGGGCATCGACTACCAAATGCTTTACTGATGCTGGTAAACCTGAAAGTAAACTTATTATTGGTTGACTATAGAGGCTATGGGAAGAGTGAAGGAGAAGCAAATGAGGATGGCATCTATTTAGATTCCGAGGCTGTTCTAGATTATGTGATGACTAGATCAGATCTTGACAAGACAAAAATTTTTCTTTTTGGCCGTTCATTGGGGGGAGCAGTTGCTATTCACCTGGCCTCTGAAAATTCTCATAGGATTTCTGCCATCTTGGTGGAGAATACATTCCTTAGTATCCCACATATGGCCAGCACACTGTTTTCTTTCTTTCCTATGAGGTACCTTCCTTTATGGTGCTATAAGAACAAGTTCCTGTCTTATAGAAAAATATCTCAGTGCAGGATGCCTTCACTGTTCATTTCTGGACTTGCTGACCAACTGATTCCTCCAGTTATGATGAAGCAACTTTATGAACTTTCCCCTGCTCGGACTAAAAGATTGGCAATATTTCCAGATGGAACTCATAATGACACTTGGCAGTGCCAAGGCTACTTTACTGCACTCGAACAATTTATCAAAGAAGTTATAAAAAGCCACTCCCCTGAAGAAATGGCAAAAATGACATCTAATGTAACAATAATATAATTGTAATTCCAATCTGTCTTTCCGATACAACTGCATTGTACCTGGATTTGTGGGAAGTGATCATTAATTACCATTTTTAAAATGTGTATTCTGTCTGTATCTTAAAAAAGTGAAATTAAACATGGAAATATCTACTGATTTATGATCCAACATAGTTTTTACACTGCATTGTAAACAAATAAAACTTCTATTTGTTTTAATAAATTTAGTTTTTTTTTATTTTAGGAAAAGGCATTTTAACACATTTGTTGCTGAATGTTCTGAATTTGAGGAAAGAATAAAGCAGTTCAGTATAGTGTATATGTTAGCTCCCTGGATAAACATGGTTTGCAAAATATATTTGGCAGTCGGTATTCAGAGAATCATACTCAGCTAGATATTAGATTATTCTGTTACTAAAATTAATCTGTATTTTTAACCCCTGCTCCTACTTGATTAAGACCTCCAGGGAGAGGCATGTGGGTAGATCCCTGCAATGGTGAATGCTTCCTTGAGAGGATAGCCCTTCCAACTCTGAAAAAGATGAGTCTTCACCTTAAGAAACCATTACTGGATCCCTGTGATTTGAACAATTTTCATCCAGTCTCCAGGTTTCTCTGGGAAAAAATGGAGAATGTGATCCGACTACAGCTCTGAAGGTGGCAATCAGGTTTCAGATCATGGTACAGTACTGAAACAACTTGGTCACCCCTGATGACTTGTGCAGAACTAAGATGGGGGTAGTGTATCTATCTGGCCCTTGGTGGTTTCTTTGTAGCTTTTCATACTATACATATGTCCTGGACAAGTTTAGAGTTTGAGTATAGAGAGCACTATGTTCCTGTGGTTCTTCCTCTTAAGTCTGAAGGTCCCAGTCAGTTTGAGGGCAGAGTCATGTCCTAGATCCCTGCTTTGAAGAATGCCATAGAGCTCTCCCCCCTCCCTTTTAATATCTATATTAAGGCCCTAACACTTGTTGATATGGAAGGACAGACTTCAGCTTAACCTACCAAGACAGTGGCTGGGGGTTTGGGCCCCCATAGGACCTGGGCTGGAGATATTTCAACTTTGAATGAGGTGGTACTGCCCTATTTGGATTCAGCATGCAATTTTGTAGTCTTCCTGGACTTGTAGCTTCTGTTCAAAGAGCAGGTGATACCTGTGAGCACAGGGACTTTTGCATAACTCTTGTCTTGTACACCATTTGTACCTTTTCCTGGACTGCTCCCAGTCATTCATCCTTAGACATTCCTGGGTGAATTACTGCAACCTGTTCTACCTGGGGCTGCCCTTGAAAACTATTTGGAATCATCAATTGATCCAGAATGCAGCTGGGCAGGTAGTTCTAGGCATTCCTCATTATACCCATGTGACATCTCCACAAGATGCATTGGCTGTATATAGGTTTCTTGTTGCAATTCAAAGTGCTAGTTGTTACCTGTGTAAACCACTGCATGGCATTGGAGTAAATTGTTTATGGGACTGCCTTTTTCCAATGGTATCTGCCTGTCCCATGTGCGCCAACTGAAAGGGCCCAAGATGAAACAATGCCATCTGGTGGGACTCCAGAAGCATATCTTCTCAGCAGTGGCCCTAGCCTTTGGATTTGTCTTCCTCCTCCTGATACACTGCTGGCCCCAGCGCTGCAAGCTTTACAAAGGTTAAGATCTGGCTTTTCTCCCAGCCCTTGGGACAAGAGGAGCAGATTTCCCATTTGGTGAGATACAACAAGCTTTTTGCTTTGATCATCATGTAATTGTTCTGCAGTATTTTATTTTAGTGGTATATGTTTGTTTTCATTTAGTGATTTTTGTATGCTGCCCATGCAAAATTGTTTGAGTTGTGTGGCTGTACAACTGTCATAAATAAAGGAAACTATTCTAGACTATAGAAGCAGGGAGCAGAAAAGGCACAAGAATTTGAACCTTGATTTCACTGTAAATAAGTCTTGGGTGGCTTTTCTATGATATTTAATTTATCAGAAATCTTTTGCTTTGTCCTTGACTGCCCGTTTGTCATTTTCCAGTCCAGTCTTGGGAGGAGAAATCTGACAACTATTACTTTAATATATATGATTAAATCTCCAAATTTAATCTAATTTTGTGATGCACAATTAACATCTTTTAATATTATAAATAATGTTAAGAGAAAATACTTCATTGGAATAGCTACATAATTTTAATTTTTACTGCTAATTCTGCATTTAAATAAGAAAAGGTATATCTAAAGATTATAATCATTTTGATATTACCACACAGTCTCAAAGGCAGGTAAACCTAGTCCTACCCAAGACTTTAGTTTGCGGTCCTGGTATTGCAAAATGAACTCTATATTTTCCTAAAGATTTTTATTTACTTTCATCATGAGGAAATCCTGATTCAAATCTGAGTGCTCCTTCCCTCCAGGAGATTGAGATTGCCTGATTTAAAACTGTATTTTGTAGCCAGTTGTTTACTTTGGATAAAAGAATAGGTGCTACTGAGAAAAGAATTTTTGAATTAGCGTGATCTGAAGGCATGGCTTTCTGTTGAACTATAAAGTTAATGTAGATTTCAAAAATTACTGTGCCAGAAGTGCCATATTGAGAATATGGAATGGATATATTCCAAACTGTGCCTGAAAATGCCTTTATAGGTCACAGCACAAGAAGTATTTTATAGGAAAGAAACAGCAGGTTAAGAGCAACAAATATATAATACGATTGCTGCTGCAGAGCAACAATATGCACAAAAATTGAAAGATTCTGAAACACCCACAATGGAGGAATGATTGGTGAAGATGACAGAATTAGCAGAAATGGCGCAATTAACTTGATTGCTTTGAGAAAGATCAATTATTATATTTATTAGTTACTTGAAATTCCTTATGGACTTTTTGCTGAAAAAAGAAAAAAAATGAACTGATGATTTAGGAAGCCCTGGAATGAAAAAATTAAACTGCCTAACAGTACAGTTAAAATACTATTTTACTGGAATGACATGTTGATAATTGAAAGCAGGATACTGAAAGTTTAGTTTTTTACATTCATCTCTCATTCCCCATGCAATTCGTTATCCAAAAAGAAGCTTTCTATATGAACATAGTGGGGAGCACACTTTTTTCTTAGGTTTTGTATAGAGATACTGTGTGTGTTCTATGTATGTGTATGTTTACATATATGTAACACAAATATAAACTGAAAATATTCTGGTTTTTGAGCAAAGAATCTTTATTTCCTATTTGGGAATTAAATTAAATTCCCAAAATATTGGAACACTTTGCACAAAGTAAGTTTGTGGTACCTTGATACAGTGGTACCTTGATACTCAACTGCTCTGAAACTCATCAGATTTGGTACTCAATGCATTTTGTCCTGGTACTCATTGTTTGTTTGGTACTCAATGCGCAAGCTAGAACTTGCTGATGTTGGCTGCCTTGTGACTCACTACATTATTCCTCATGGGAAAAAATTGTTTGGTACTCATTGTTTTTGGTACTCATTGTGCCTGGAACCAATTAACAATGGGTACCGAGGTACCACTTTATAAATAAAGCTAGGATTAATGTTGGATTTTTAGGTGGGGGCATTTTTTTATCCTTTATTCCTGCCATTTCTTTTCACTGACATAGTACTTTATTATTTATTAGATTGTGCGAAGTCAGAGCCCCAGAGAAGGAAATATTAAAAGGGCAGAAAAATATATTTTCCCTCAAGAGGATTTTTAAAAGCAGAAGCCAACTCTGCCCCCAAATCTCTCTATCCCAAACAGGATCCAGCCCTATACAAATGCAAATGTAAAACCATCAGAAAGTTGGAGCCAGAAAACTCAAGAAGACAAAGAGACTTAAAATCTGCATACCTCATCCAAACTCTAAGAGTCATTAGCCCAGCCCCTGGGAAGCAGGATATGACTTTTGGGACATAATAAGATTAAATTACAATACCAACGCCTAGAAAAGCACTCAGACTCAGTTCAAAGTTCATGCCACAGGAACAGGAAACTATTCCAAACAAAAGGCTAGAGGGTATAAAAAGCTACTGCCCATGTGCTCAGGTCCTTCTTTCCTCTGGTCTTTCCTGCAAGAACCATCTTTCTGCCTCTTCAATAAACTGTAACCATCTTCCCAAAGCAGTCGCCATGTTGCTTATTTATTCCCAGCTTGGATGAACCAGGATGAAGACTTTACTTCCAACAAGATGTATACCCCATCTTTCACTCGGGAACTCAAGGCAATGGATGTTGTAAGGAACTACCTCAATTAAGCCTCCCAAGAAAGCAGAACTCTTGAAACAAGCATCATTTCAAAAGGAACGTTTATTGGAAGGTGTTGACAGCAGTAGTAGAAGGCAGGATCTGAGGATTTTCTGCGTGAATCAATAGTTTAAAAGAGACAATGAAAACCCCACCCCAACTGTCCATCTGGATGATTCGAATAGGCCAACCCGCAGCTGTGAAAATGGGAATGGAGCGATAAGGCGCTGCTTCCAAGGCTGTTAAGTCTCCACGCTGGGAGATAAGGCAGATGGCCGGAGGCACATTCTATTCTCACCCCGAGGAAGAAACATCAAAGAGGATAGAGCAAGGAACGAAGCAAAGGAAATACACTGTAGCAACCCCGAGCACCCCCTCCCCCCAGACGAATGACAGAACCCGAAAGAGAGCAGAAACCCTAATGCCCATAGAAAGAGAGGGTTCTGACAGATGTACAGTATTCCCTCCTCCTATTTTCCCCAAACAACAACCTTGCAAGTAGACTAGTAATTAAGTAACTAACCCAAAGTGACTCTGTGGGGTTTTGTGGTTAAGGATAGACTGTTAAAGTCTCATAACATCTTTATCATTTCATTAATTACAATATGTGGTGTAGAAAATTGATTGTTATATTCAGAATAATACAGGCAATGTGCCTTAGACATGAAGCCAGCTGTGTGACCTGGAGCTAGTCATTCTCTCAGTACTAGAGAGCAGGCAAGGGGAATTCATTTCTGATATTATTGTTATTAGATTTTTTTATCCCTCCTTTTTATATACTGTAAAATGTCAAACATAACTCCCTCCTCCTATTTTCCCCACAAAAACAACCTTATTAGGGGATTGGGCTAAGAGAGAGGACTGGCCAAACTGAAATCCTGTCAAGAAAGTTGCAGGAACTTGTTCAGGTAAAAGATCAAGGAATGA